AATGAATAAAATCCACTTTCTTTTGGTCTTTGATAATTCTTCAATGGCGAGATATTCGAATCTCGCCATTTTTTTTCGCGTTCCGTTTCTTTAGCGAGTCACTGTAAGTTATCTCGTCCTAACACACGTAAATCTTATCGTATATCAGGGGAACAGGCGCGATAAAAAATTTCTCATGATGAGATATAATATTTTAAAATCGGAAAAATAAAAATAAAGAACACGAATGAAATAATTCTATTACCTCGGAATATGATTTGATAATAAAGGTTAGCTTCACAAGACGTCTAACATCCCCGAAAGGCATACGCGTCTCATAAACCCGCCGATGAGCAACTGAAGCACGAAGCCAGGCGACCGACTAGGCGTAGGGGAATGCTATCAGATGAAATACATAGACCTGCGACGTCTGTGGAACAGCATTCTCGAGAGGCATACGCGTCTCATAAATTCACCGATGGGCAGGCGTAAAGCCAGGCGACCGACTGAACGTAGGGAATGCTGTCCTTGGAAGCAAAAAATTTTTATATAGTCCGTTTTCATTATTGGATCGTCTAAAAATTTTGGTCTTTGATAATTTTAGCTTCACAAGACGTCTAAAATCCCCGAAAGGCATACGCGTCTCATAAACCCGCCGATGAGCAACTGAAGCACGAAGCCAGGCGACCGACTGGGCGTAGGGGAATGCTATCAGATGAAATACATAGATCTGCGACGTCTGTGGAACAGCACTCTCGAGAGGCATACGCGTCTCGTAAATTCACCGATGGGCAGGCGTAAAGTCAGGCGACCGACTGAACGTAGGGAATGCTGTCCTTGGAAGCAAAAAATTTTTATATAGTCCAAAATTTCATTCTGCACAATTTGTCACGCGCAGTTAAGAAAATTTTAAGTACCCTAGCCATGGCGAAAAAAGTTACGGGTCACGTGTCGCCAATAAGAATGCGTGAATTTTTGATTTACTAGTGACACAAACCAATAAAAATGCATAAATTTTTGATCAGCCCGGCAAAACAAATCGACACAAGAAAATGAAAAAAGCAAAAAATGTAAAAAATACGGGAAACAGATGCCTAAATCTAATTTGATAGACTAACAAAAAATGTCGGGAAGGCAATTTTATATATCAATTTGATCACAGATCTAACCTTAACCCTAACCTTTAAATTAACCTTTACAATAATCTCTATTACCGTAGAATTTTTCCGGACATACAGGATATCACATGACCCGTAACTTTTTTTTCGCCATGGCTAGGGTATCCAAAATTTTTTGCGATGATACGTAAACAAACTATCGCGTTTAAAATCTGATCTTTTGTGGCTTTGCTGAACGCCTTTTCTCTTTTTTTCTCTTACGATCTAATAATGGAATCCTGTCCTAACTCTGTAAAAGTTAACGTTTTTTTCAAAAGAACTTCAGCTTCAAACTGGAAAAACTATGAACGCTACTTCTCAATAGCAAAAAAACTGACTCATGGCTCTTTTGTACGAGATCTGATTATAATAGCAAACCATAAAGATATTTCTTCTTCTCTGCAAAAAAGAGCGAAAGCTATAGCTGACTATGTCAAAAATAATAAAAATGAAAGACAACGTTTTCTGGATTTGCAGGATACCTACCGATATTATCGGGAACGAAAGCGACTTCGGGTAGAATTGCACTTGAATAAGTATTCGAATTATTTAATGTTTGACTTTTCACAATTCTGTTTTTACAGATTAGTAGTTCACTAAAATTGGAGCGTGCTGTTAATAACATGATGGATAAATCAGTCACCGAAACGGTAGCTTAATTATTTGGTTTCCTGGAACTGTTATGAATTAGGTTTAATTTAAAATTGCACTTTCCTCCTCAACATCTAGGTTTTGATTCACACAAAAAATCCTGGTTGTGAACAACCAGGAAGTAGAAGATGATGAAGATGGTGAAGATGATAAAGGTGATGACGATAATAACGGGGATGAAGATCTCGAATATGAAGATGCTGACATGTCAACACCTAATAATGATATAGTAAGTCCTGTTTATAACTCTGAGATATAGTGATTCGCATTGAGTTCAGTTATCAAGATTTGATTATTCAACCATTAAAATAGCACTAATTTGCGTGATTCCTTTTTAGATTGATGATGATAAAGATTTGGATTATGTAACTAAGTCGACTAGTAGCGCAAGTGGTTCAAAAAAGCGTAGAAAATCATCTGAAGAATTAGAAGAGGTGGAGAATTTGTATAGTCTTTTCAGTAACTGAGCAAATGTTAATATTTTTAATATCATTTTTATTGTATCTACAGTCCGACATATCAGACAATGTTGAATATCAGGATGAGCTGGTTGCAAAAAAAAATAGGCAGAAGGAAACTAAACGTACTAAATGTGCATATGTTTTAAAACAAATAATTGCGGTATGTACATGTAGATGTGTGTTTCATTAAGAGCATTTACATGATATAACTTTAATTCTGTACAGGAGTGGACCATTGATAATACGAACATAAGTGATGCATTTTTCCATTTCAAGAGTTTTGCTGAATCCAAAGCGAATAGACATGAATTGAAATTCTCAAATCATCCTGGCGAAATTCTGTTAGTTGACATGTTATCTTTCTTTTTATATAATGTATATATTAACAGTTAATAATGTTAATGTATCGGATTATTAATGTCCAGCGCTCTTAATTATATACTCCTTTTGGAGGAAAATTCCAACCGTGTACAATTGGATATTTCATCAGCTATTCGCACGAAGATTTTCGACCAAATGAAGGCAATGTACCCGGAATATAATTTGCCAAAAGTAGTTGAAGAACTATGTCATCGATGTGCTCAAGCTGCCCGAAAACAAACCAGAGAGGTTTTAGAAGAAGAAATTGACAATGCTTATAGTGATTTAAAGACAAACTTGAGTTCATCCGACAAAAAATTGCTAAGAACCAGTCAGAATGTTTGGAATCACATGTAGATGTATTTTTAATTTGGTATTTGATTTATTTATTTCTCAAGTTACTAAGATAATTCTATTTAGTGCAGAGAATTGGCGAACAAGTTTTGATAGTCCTCAAACAATAGAAAACACCCACGTACATCATTCAATACATCTTTATTTACGTTCATTTTTCCCCGATGGACCTGATAGAACAATTAATTGGTAATTTTACAGATCAATGTTGGTCATTCCTGCTTTAGTGGGCATTTAAATGACAATGTATTAATTTGCTTTCTTCTTAGGACAAACAAGATGTCGTTCGTAAGCGCATCTAGGAAAACAAATGATAATTACGAAAGTAAAGAACATAAACCCGACTTCATAATCACAGTTAATAAAAAAAGTGGCAAATTTGAAGTTGTGTTTGGTCTATTCAAGTCGCCTTACAAAAGTAGCTCTCACTCCGCAAATGTTGATCTAGTGGATTTAGGAGTGTTAATGAAAGACTCACTAGATAACATGTATAAAGAGAAATGTATTGAATTAGAAATGGCTGTATTTGGAATTCATGCATTTGGTATGTAGCTTTCTAGCTATATTTTTTCTGAATGCTTTTATTAATAAGTTTAGCATTCTGTTGGCAGGTTATAATGTCCGTATATATGCTATGGATCTTCCGTATGACGCCGTATATAGAATGTATTTGATAGGAGAATTTGAATTGCCAAAAAGTAATATTAGCCTGTGTTTGGTTGAAAATGCGTTACATGAAGTAGGAAGTTTGAAGGTAAATTTGACGGATCTTGATATTATTGATATTTCTAAATTATCAACTTCATGGTTTTTATCAATCGCAGAATTTCGTAGAAGAATATATTAAGAGGCTTCCATCCCACATCACTAATAATGAGAATACTAAAACTCCAACCGAAAAGATGAGAATGACCAGGAGAACGGTAGCAACTCCTTGCAAGGTATATTTTCATCATTTTTTATGTATCCGCTCATTTTTTTTGTTCGAGAATTTCTCGTTACTTTTATGCTACCTTTTAGGTTGAGTTGGAGTAGATTATCTCGCCACATGATTTGTAATTGCATAATATCTATCCGATTGATCGTAGCCTTAATAGTAGATCAGAGTTTGTGTTTAAAGTGATCGTCATGTAATTATGTAGCAAAAATCGCTTTAACGATATGTACGCAGTGTGATGAAAGGTGTGATCGGAAAGAAATGTATATCAAATATCCATATGCCGTACTATAATAAAGTTTTCATGACGCGATATATTATTTAGCATCTATAAATTTTAGTGCATTTAGTGCCTTGCGAAGCGTTACATTGTACAGATATAGCCACTTTGTGACTGCGAAACATAAATGCTTATGGCATAGTTATAATATACAAACTCGAAATGTGTATAACCTGTGACTATTCAATATTTAAGTGAGCGTGAAAGGGTGAGCCAGAATGGTATCACGTGATTATGTCGCAGTAAATATACGCGAAAGATGCATTATGCTAGTTTATTATAATTCATGCGAGAATACCTCCCAAAAATAGCTTGACTAGTCAAGTTTCGGCGAAATATATACGAATTTTAACCCTCCGAAAGATAAATATCAGATCGATATGAGCGGGGAAATTTTCCATGATATACTTGACCTCACTTCTAGTTAAGTCTGAAAAGCTAGATGCAGTGAAGGATTTAACTCGCCAAGTTTTATTTTCCCCGATGATGCTAAATATATCATAAATTTTTCTAGCAATATTTGTTCTTTTACGTACCATAGCATTATTGAGATTTTTTGGGAGATATTCTCTAACCTCACTGTTTAATTCTGTATATGCTGTTTGCGAAGGTTTTCTTTAAACTGAAAATACTTCTCGATTTGTTCGATCCCCCTTCTTTTCAATATCATCAACTTCATAATATAGGCGGTGGAATTTATTAGATATTTCTTCCATGTTGAACTCTTCGGAAGGTACAGTGATTGATGGTTCGTCGAAAATTGGTACAACCAATAACTCGAATAATGTTTTGCGGTTTTGAGACTCTTTAGGCTTATTTTCATGAGTATTATCTTCCTGTCTCTTCCTTTTCTTTTTGAAGGCTTCGTTAACTGAGATGTCAGGTGAAATATAATATCCTTCTTTTTCCAGATCATCCGTCGATGAACATTTAGGACATAAGTTACGCTTGTTGCCAATGCACTCAAAATGGATAACATGTTTACATGTTAATAATACGACCGGCTTTGAATGTCCCGGAAAGATGGTTTCAGAGCACTTGGAACATATTTCAGGAGTTGGTTCACTAGTGCGTTTGAGTGATGAGGTGGTTTCTTTACTTTGTAGAGTTTCGGTAAGTCCAGTATCAGGATCGTTCTCGAATAATTGGGGATCTTGATCATGTCTAGGTGTAATGGTGTTAACTAAAGCTCTGTTTGGGTCGGGTCGGGTCGGATTCGGTCGGGTTTTATCCGTTAATAACTTTTATTTTTACTAAGACACTTGTATTTTGTGTCTAAGTAGAGTTGTTCGGAATGTAATTGTGTATATGCCCACAGATTTTCGTTTAATTCCATTTAATATTGAACGAAAAATAACGATGGGTCGGGTTTGATCCGAAAATCGTAAATTAGTTTTTTGTTAATAACTTTTATTTTTACTAAGACACTTGTATTTTGTGTCTAAGTAGAGTTGTTCGGAATGTAATTGTGTATATGCCCAAAATTTTTCGTTTAATTTCAATTAATATTGAACGAAAAATAACGATTTTTAGGCTGACCCGAATTATTTCGGGTCGGGTTTGACCCAATCCGACCCGGTTGGAGCACTAATCTTGATTCCTCATTTAGCAGATGCTCCTCGAAGCACTTTTGATGATATAAATGCCCACAGCTAGCTAGTGTAAAATAAACTCTTGTCTACACAACAGACATGGATCCAATTTTGGAACCCGAACGCTACTATTGAGAGTTCCAGGGATTGCATTAAGAATATTTTTAGCGAGAGCTATGATGTTGATTTTATCCATGTTTAAGCAACGAAAAAAAATATATCTGATTATCCTCCATCGTTTATATATTCGTTAATATACTTGCATATGCTCAAAAAATATTTGCCAACTCGAATTAACAATACGTCTGAAATTTGCAACAGTAAGTTTATTATTAGTACTCTAACCATGGCGAAAAAAATGTACAGTACACGTGATGATAAACCAGTCCAACCAATAAGAATGCACAAAAATGCTGTGCAACCAATAGGAATGTAGCAAATTTTTGATTAACCGGACAAAAGAAATCCGGTACAAGAAACTGTGAAAGACAAAAAATGTGAAAAATACAAAAAACAGATATCTAAATCTAGCTTGACGCACTATCAAAACATGTTGTGAAGACAATTTTATATATAATTTCGATCTCAGCTCTAACCCTAACACTTGATAATCAGATATTTCAGATTATGTGCACTTACATTTTTTTCGTCATGACTAGAATACTATTACAATCATGAACTTCACAAGTATGCAATAAATTATTAATGATCATAATATTTTTAGTACTATTTATGCTGAATATGTATTGTGCAATGGGTGATCGCTCACCTATAAAATTGTCTGTGCATATTGCTACAGTTACTTTAAATGAAGAGTTTCTTCACTATTAGTAAAAGAGTTATATGAGTTGGAAAAGAGAAATAGACTAATAAAATTAATCAGTGCAAAAATAAGTATCTAAGCTAGGGTTCCGAAAAAAAAGTCTGGTTCAGTTCGAGTCTGGTTCAGTTCGAGCTTGAATCAGACTCGAACCTGATGAAAAGTCTGGTTCGAAAATTCGAACCTAATTAAAAATCTGGTTCGAGTTTGGTTCAAATTTTGAACCAGACTCGAACCTGACCAAAAATTCAGTTCGAGTTCAAGTAAATATTTGTTGATGTTCTAAATAAAGTTGTAGATATAAGATAGTTAATATTTAGAATAAATATTTAGAATAAATATTTAAGAAATTATATGGATTTAAAAAATAATTTTAATTATTATGATTTTAATCTACTTTAGTTTTAATATAATAAACATTTATTTTACTATAGCAATTATAAATTACGATTATAAATAAAGTTATAGCCAGAAATAAGAGCTACAAATTGGTATAAGATAGTTATTATTAATAATAATTATTCAGAGAGTTACATAGCATT